TCGAAAACATCAATCAAGTACTTAAAAGAGTTACATAGTGGCCCAAAAAGAGTCTAGAGAGAAAGAAATGAGCCCTTTAAGAGTTATAAGAAAGAGAAAGAGATAAGTCATTTTACATGTGCTATAATGACTAGAAATAAAATAATTGTTAAGAGAAGAACCAATAAGCCCAATACCTATTGTTGGGCGAGAGGCACGAGGCCAATTTCTTCTTAAACAACAATCATATAATTTCCTATTTTTAATTTCTTCAATTTTCTTTTATTATTATTATTATTATTGGTCATCATTATTGGCTTAGTGATTAACCTATAGTATTACTTTCTAAAATCTTAAAACGTGATACATAAAGTGAAGAAAAAAAAAAAAAAAAACCTTACTTGTTACATTCGATGATAGAGAGACTTGTTTTGGTTTTTTTTATCATTTTTTCAAAAATCAATTGATTATTTTTTTATATTTCTTGTTAAATAATTATTATTGTTGGTATAAAAACAATTTGACCAATTGATAGTAAGAGAAAAACTGAATAATCAATGAGTCAAATAAGAATTATAATTTTAATTCAAAAATACATTTAAAAGCCCGACACCAAAAACATTTTCTGAAAAATATTTCCAAAACCTTTGCCAAATTGAAAAATAAAAATAAAGAAAACATTCTACATGAAAAAGTGTTACATATAAATTATTTTACTCTCAAACAAACGGAGCCTTAATATTATATATATATATATATATATATATATATATATATATATATATTGTTTTTTTTAGGTTGAAATGTTGGGCAAGAATCCCGCTTAAACTAGTATTCCTGAATCCTTCCTTCTCCAACCAGAACAAGGACTCCGTACGTACTCCTGTAGAAGAAGGCCTCCTGTCTTCTAATCCCTTCAAAACCCTAAATTTTATTCCCACAATCTCATCGATCAATAGTCCGTCGTCAATTGCCACAACCGCTTCTCACTCTTCTCCTTCAACTGGCATCATCGAGACTCTTGGAAGTTTCGCCCAATCCATCCTTTCTATCTTCACAGACCACACAAACCCTAATGTTAATTACTACTCCACCTACTGCAGGCTTCACATCCCTTCAAACTCAGCTCTTTGAAGTTGTTGCTGAAGTTCAAGAAATTCTTGATGCTAAGCAAAATTTCTCTCGGTCCAAAGATTTTACAATTCTTGCCGCTTTTGCCAACAAACTCAAAGAAGCCGAGAGGGTTCTTAACATCCTTGCTGTCCATGATTATTCTGATCATCACCGCCCCCGCCCCACCAAACAATTAAAAACAACTCTATGAAGCCCTTAGGGTGTGTTTGGATAAACAGAGGAGAAAATAAAAGAAATGATAGTATTAGTTAAGAGAGAAAAGAAAATAAATGATATTAATAATTTCTATTCGTGTTTGGATAGATATGGGAGAAAAAAAAAAAAAAAAGGATAATTATTCTTGTTTGGATAAGATAGAGGAGAGAAAAGAAAAGAAAGGATAGTGACCAAATTACAGTCATACATTTTCATAACCACTTTATACATTATCCATTTTCAAAATATTGTTTCTTTTTGATAATTTAATGCCATGGGTAAAAACAAAAATAAAAAGAAAAAGAATCACAAGGCTAAGATGAAACATTCAACATGGTTGAAGGTAACAACAGTATTTAACCTTTGTTACGAGCATATGAAAAATTTATTTTTGTTGTATCTGTTATACCTATCCGACTCAATTCCTTTCCATCCTAAAATTTTTAATAACTTTTAGCATTGTCATACATCCTTGTATTCCACTAAGCATATTAGGACATAAATGGAATTACTTTTCTGTATGTTGATTTGTAGAGGGCATTTTTGGTATTAATAATTTATAACTTACTCCACTACCCTTTCTCTCCCTATCCTCTTTTTTCTCTCCATTTAACCCACCCAAACACATTCTCACGCTATCCTCTCTTTTTTTTTCTCTCCCTATCCCTCCAAATCAACCCTGCCAAACACACATAGGCACTTGAACCAGTACAGACACCCCTGCACTCAGTCCAACCCAATGTAAACTAACATGAAGTCCCATCACTGAATGTATTCTGATATATTTTATTAATGAATTTATGATTTTATAGTTTAAATGCTTATATCCATTTTTGGTGAATGCTTATATTTATTGACTCAAGAGTTTTTTTTTTCCCCTGGCAATAAGAAAAAAGCCATACGGCATCTACATAGCACAAACCAACAAAACATCCCAACACCCAAAGGCAAAGGATAGACAACACACAAGTCCACCACAAGAAATGGTCATAAAGATGCGACGACCCCAACTGAAGAAAATACCCAAAATCAACTGGCAATGCTTATGTGCAAGCTACAAATAAGGTTTTAAAACACCACTGAACTGGACATCGGGTCCATTGAACATACCCACCAATGATTAGGCTAAGCCACCGCCAAATAGGCCCATTGGGTTCTGCACACTCCAACAGCCATGAGGATCATCACGGAAACCCAAACTAAAATTGCAAATTATAGCTACCCACAAAGGGAGCCTAACAAACAGGACGTTATATGACAAGACTAATGGGCTGCCCATAACAGTGACATCAAAGTGAGACTGAGGACAAACAAAGCCCACAACCACAAATTCCATAGGCATCAGAAAAACTACCGGCTGTGCATTTCCTACGTGGTGTAATGGATACAAGATAAACCACCCCAAAGGTGAAGCCACAAATTTAACATGCGCACTACGCTGAAGCCACAAAACCATCATTATGTTTGACTTTTGATGCTCATTTTGACCGTCAACTATAAGACGGAGGATTCGAGGAGACTCCAAATTCACCGGCCACCGAGAATTAGGAAGAAGTGAATGTGCCAACCAAGCCCAGAACGGTGAAGCCTTCACAACAGAGCAACCACGACGACCTGGGCTAGCGACCAAACTGCCACTGATAGTCTGAAGCTCCATTGGACCATGATTTTCATGGCTTGGAAAAAGATGAAAAATCATTCAGAGTACAAAACTAACTAGCAACTTATTAAAGTTTTAAGTAAATAAAATCCTTGAAGGCTATTTTAAGGTGAGGAATAAGGAAGGCTTTAAGGCCAAAAAAGAATTTACAATCACACATTTCAAATCATATGTAAGAGGGGTTTTGACTACATATCTTTCATGTTTGTGTTATATCATCGGCTATATTGTACATATTGTATTACATTACAAACCATTTAATATAGTCTAGTTCCCAAAACTCTTCTAGTAGCTAGAGAAGACAAAAGTGGAAGAAATTCACATGAACATATATATATATATATATGGTCCAACAATAATTTATATATATTATAACTTACTATATATCAAATACACACACATATAAATGTTTTAATGAACTGAACTTGGAGGGAAAGCATATAAAGCAGATGTAAATGGAAAGGAGAGATCAAAAATAATTTTGATTGGAACAAAGGAATGGAAAATCATTTTTCTAGGAAGATGGGGTATACCAGTCATATTGGAAGGTGCTTTCGGGATTAATAAAAAATTATCAATCATGTGCATTACAATATGGAAAAATATAGAAAGAAAGTAGTTGGAGATAAAATGCAAGGAGACAAATTATTCACTTTTGAAACTATAGGGATTGACTTGCTCACTTTTATACTGCATGGGGCTATTGTGATCACTTGGTGAGACTTTGGGATTGTTTTTTACTCTTTTGCCTAATATATAATACATTCTTTATGTGAAAACTATATAAAATTTCCCGGAGGTTCATCGATATCCCACATAAACCCTCTTTACGTTTATAATTCCACTTACTTCCCGTAAGGTTATAATTTATGTAACTGATTCCCCCGTGTCGTTAGCATATGATAGATTCTGTTGATGTCAACATGAGAAAATTAATAAAGGTCAATTTTGTCCTTTTAATGCGCGCCTTAAATGACAATATATAATTTATAGGCAAAACGGTAAAATAATATATTACTATTATCAAGTTGGACAACACTGAGGAAATAAGTGAAATTATGAAACATAAAGGGATTTATGTAGGGCTGCAACTCAGGCGGGTTGGCCTGGTTTGAGGTATAATATGAGCCCAACCCACTATATGAAATGCTAAACCCAATCCCAACCCTAAACTATTCTCAACCCTAACTACTCAATCCGAACCCAATCAATTCTTCTACTTTTAAATTCGGGTTTAGATTTCGTGTTAAAATTTCGAATTAATTTGGGTGACTCATATGGCTAATCTTCACATCAAAAATTTAATATGATCTTAATTAGTTTTAGATTAAATTACTCTTAAACAAAAAAAAGTTCAAAGACTTTTTGTAAATTTTTAATAATTACAAACAAATTCTTAGAAAATTAAGTCTCCTAAATATTAATATACAATAAGTTAAGATTTAACAAAAGAAGTTGAAAAGAAAAAAGGTAATCATAGTTTAAATATTATATATAATGTATTTTAAAGTAAAAATATATATAAAAATAATATTATAATTCGGGTTCGAGTTGGCTCGAGTTGTTAGGATTTCAACCCAAGCCTAATTCTAATTTAATTCGGGTTGAGATTTTTCAACCCAAGCATAACCCTAATTGTAAAAATAATTATCCAAGGTCAACAAAAAATTTATATAAAATATTGATATAAGAGAGGCAAGTGAAATTTACCGTTAAAAGAAATTATTTCAAGGCTCAAAATAATTTTATTGAAATTTAAAAATAATGCTGGCACTAAATAAAATTCGAATTTATCATTCTTTCAGACCCATTGATCAAAAAGTTATTGGATAGTGCAACATTGGAGCCCGAATTAAAGATGGGTTCCAACTCTCATACCAGCGTTTGGCAACAACTCAAAAGCCGGGCCTGTATATATCCCCGTTCTCTTTACCACTGTCATTTTCCAAAACTAAATTGACCTTTTTGATGGAGAAACGAGTGAGTGGCCATCAGTTCATTATGCTAATTACTGAGAACCGTTCAAGTCTCTGTGAGCAATATTGCTTCCTGTACAGTATCTCCTCCTCTTTTCAAGCTTCGAAGTGTTAATTCAAGGTTTTAGAGGTAAACATCTTAACTGGATTTTTATGGGTTTTTTTATTTTTATTTTTCAAATACTTTGTCATCTCAATGCTATGTTCATGTGATTCGGAAACATGGTTGGGTTTGGTTTTATGAAAATTTGTCTTTTGGGTTCAATGGAAGTCCAATTTTGGGTTAAATGAAAATTTGCTTTCTTTTGTTCTTTTAATTCCTATATGGGGTCACATTGTAAGTCCTCTTTTCTTCTGCTTGTTACAATTTTTATAACTATTTTCTTTGATATGATTGTTATGGTGATAATGACTCATCATTGCCTCTTTTTTCTTACCTTGTATTTAAATGATTTGCTCTTATAATTTGTTCAAACTAAAATATACACTGTACTTTCTATGTAAATGTTTGGAATGTGTCAATGTTGTTCAAACTAAAATATACAATATACTTTCTATGTAAAGTTTGGAATATGTCAACGTAATTGAGGTGGTTTGTTTTTTTTTATTTTTTTATTTTTTTTTATTTTTAATTTACATGTTTTTTTTGGCTCTGCTGGATTTGATGCTTGTGGTCCTGTGGATAAATTATTATTCTTGATATGTAAATATTTTCTTCGAAAAGATTTTCCTTTTCTAGGTAAAATATATTTATTTTTTTATTTTTAGGTGATTGGCAAAAGTTTAGGTCAAGGTTGAGTTCCAACAGGCTGGTTGAAAAATGATGAATAAGTTATTTTTGTTAGGTTTTAAATTTTTTTTCTTCGTACTATAACCAAACACCAAAAAAATATATATATATATATTTTACATATAAACATAATTCAAATTTTCTTGTTTAATGTTCCTTTTTGATGTTAGTGTTGGGATTTATATGCCCTGGCATAGCAAATTCCTGTCTGGATTGTATTGACATATGTTCCTGACATATCTGAAATATTTATGATTTATATAATTGGTGAATTCAATGTATTATGTTTCGATTCACTATGAAATTGATAGTGTCCAGTTAATTACAAGAAATATTTATATATATGTATGTGATGACAATCAATGCATGATATATAAATAGTAATTATAAATTGTTCATAGTCGGTAATTATGGATGGACTCATAATTAAGACTTGAACTGGATCCGCGTTAGGTTGAGATATATTGCGAGAGCCGTCGTATGCAATTACTCCCTATCACCGTCATGGCATTTGACTCTTAAGCATGAGAAAAGTATAGACTCTTTTATTAATTAATAATTACTTTGATTTGTTCGGCGAATTCTTCGGGATCCTTAGACCGACACTTTGGGTAGTTATGTAATTAATAGTTAGAGGGTTATATTTTCAATATTTGCATCATTGCTACTTGTATTTATTTTGTATTGATTATGGTTGATCACAAAGTAAATTCGAAGGCCTTCGTGTGTTTTTAGACAAAATGATTTATTATATATTTATTTATTTAAATTATTATTTTTGTCAAACAAATGTTTTATTGTGATCGAGCCAGAAATAATCAAAGGTACCAAAATAAATATATTAATTAAGTAGTCGGATTGATGGCTATATTTATCCGATAACTAATTATGCATAGAGGGGTCAAAGTGCAATATTGACTTAGAGGTTATTTATTATTTAATTGGAGTTCAATTAATTTCTTTTAGTGGAGTAGAAATTAATTTATGAATTAATTGAATTGGGTCCATGGACCGGGCCAATTATTAATTCATTGTAGCCAATAAAATAATAGGCCCAATGGATTCTCACTCATAGCCCAACTTGATATTGGAATCATATTAGATTTGAGATATATGAATTAGAGATGGAGAAGGATTTGTTATTTCCTTTTCTTTATTTTTATGTTGCCTATAAATATACATGGTCTATGTATATTTTAGGGGGTGATTTTTATGAGAAGGAAATAGGAATAAATTTTCTCTCTCTAGAAAATTAGGGTTTATGGTCTCATCTAATAGAGGCTCCCACAAGCCTAGTTTTCCAAGGTCATTCATGGAGGCATATGAGTGATTCCTAAAGGCAAAACAATTACCAAGAAGATGGAGATCCAAGGAGAATGCATCTAGCAAAAGGGATCTACAATAAGTGAGAACATTCACTTTAGAGGAGAGATCTGAGGTTTACTCAAACCTTGATGTAAGTATTCAATCTTTTAGTTGAATAATACATCATATTTTGTTTTATTTTTGCATGAAACTTGTCTCTATGTAATAAATCAAGATCTATGAATTTAAATCCCTCGAAAAGTTTTTAAAACTTGCACGTTTCCCAACAGTGGTATCAGAGCATGGTTTGATTCATTACTAGAGATCATGATTTTATGAAAATCATCATTCATGGATCCAAAATTATATTTATATATATTTTTATTGATGTATGTTGATGTATGATTTAATATGTTGATATATATTGATACATAATGATGTATGAATGATTGTGAATGAATGATGATGTATGGTTGGGCCATGGATGAAGCTTATAGGTTAAATGAATGTAATTTTATCTTTGGATGAATGTAATTAAGGCTTTGATTTAGCCGTTTGAAAGTTCAATGATGTAATTTAATTTTTTCCATTGTATATCAAATTGTAAATTTATTTAAAGCCATGTAATCTTCATCAAAGGATGCTATGAAGCTTCAAGAAGGTCCAAGAGGGTTAAATTAGGCTTCAGAAATTTTCTGGGATTTTTTAGCAATTTTTCAGAATTTTTCTGGAATTTTTTAAGGCCTAATTTAATTTCTGGAAATTTTTATTAATTTTTCTGGATTTTTCGGCGTTTTTCCGGTGGCCGGAGCATCACCGGCGGCGAGAAGAGACGTCGGAGGAGGCTAGAATCAAGTGTAGTGCATGTGGGGTGAGCCTGGCGCGTGAGGAACACGCGCCAGGAGATGACATATGCTGGCGCGTGCATTGCACGCGCCAGCCAAGTGTGTATGGCCTCCACGCGCGTGCAGGCGCGTGGAGGCGCATCCCATGCGCCCCAGGCGCGTGCCAGCACGTGGGGGCGCGTGGCTTCACCTGCAGCATGCCCCAGGCGCGTGTGAGCGCGTGTGGGGCCCTCCAGTCGCGTTCCAAGCAATGTTTTGCTTCTCCTAGCGCGTATCAACCTCCTGCGGGTGTTTGCAAGCTGATGGAAGATCCTCGCGCAATACTTAGAGTAATTAAATGTTAAAAGCTGAATCCATTGGCCATTTAATTTGCTTTATCTATCATTTATTGTTGTATGTGATGCATGAAATAATTAATTGCTAATTATTATTGTTCATGCATTGGATCCATGATATTTATTTAAATGGCTTGATTTATATTAATTAAATTATGAAAATTAATTGGATTAGATTACTAATTAATTTGAGGGCACTTATTGGGAAACGAAAAATTATTTTTGTAAATTATTTTTAAAGTGTGCTTCAAATTAAATATTAGTGAATCGTTTAAAGTCCAAATATTTTCTAAATTTAATGAGATTAAAATCAAGACGTTTTGCATGCATTATATCATGTAAATTGAAAACACTAATTATTAATGACTAAAAATTGAGTGGGAGCGGGGATTTTTATACATTACCCCATGGCCTTCGTTATTAAAACCATTGTAATTAGATCTTCAAAAATAAGGCCCCACGCATGATTTGAAGAGTCTTAATATTACAAGAATGGTTGTCTCATGAAAATAAAAATATTAAATGTTCATTGTAATTAGATCTTTAAAAATAAGGCCCTACGCATGATTTAAAGAGTCTAGATTATAATGACAACATATTTAATGTTTTATTTTTCATTAGAGCATTAATAATGTTATACACTCAATCTAAAATCAATAGTGTTAGCTCCCCAACGGAGTGGTCTACACTAGGTGATTTTAGAAAGGCTAAACATAATCGGGAGTCATTTCATATAGATAGACAAGGCATTGTCTTAAGAGATATGGAGATGATGGGATTTGCCCGCCAATAGCAATAATGAACTTCGCCAACCGAATAAGTTATTGGTGTATTGGTTATCCGATTTTTCATGCAGTGGTTAAGGGACCCACATACTATTTTAATGGAAGTGCTCACCTAATAGTAAATGAATCTCAACAATAGTAATAATGAACTCCTCCAACAAGATAAGTTATTGACGTATTGATTGGTTGATTTATTATGCTACAGAGTTGAGGGACCCGCATTAATTAAAAGGGATTGTTCACCAATAATGATAATGATCTCTTGTTCGATTGAGATTTATTATATTATGTGGTTAACAAACTCATTTTAATTTTAAATATGCATGACAGAATTAATAATTCACCTTGCATGTTGTATGAATGCATTTATATTCAGATAAATTATGTCTAATCTAGTTTATGTGCTTGCTTACATATTCTATGATATTGGACCTTATTTATAATGACTGGAAAATGAGCTTAGATATTTTATTCACAACGTAAGGGTACAAATGTATTTACTACTCCTAAACCTAATCCTTTTACTTTAAGATACCCAAGAGAACATTAATGCTTTGAATAAGTGAAATAACGCAAATGAGATGACTTGGTGCAATATTCTAGAGTTTACCTCGAATACGCTCCAAAGCTAACATTTACATTATTTTATTTTCTTTAAGCATCATGTTAAATATCAATAAGATGTTTTGGTGAGATTAGATAGAGAGTATGCTGAAGTACTATATCAGACTTGAATAGCATCAAGATAACCTAAGGAACTCCAGTATGAAATCGAATTTTGGAAAATGATTGTTTATTATTTAAAATTAGCTGGAGATCAATAGGGCTGACTTGGGTGGTAAGTTTCAAGTTAACATGATTATTGCCTTGTTACCAAACTCGTTCGACTCTGTTAGAGTGAATTAAATAAAGAATCAGTTTGAGTTCACACTCGCTGATATTCTTATAGAATTGGTAACAGATGAAGGGATAATCAAGAGTATGGGCGTTCCTATCAATCTAACCTAGTCTATACCATCTTCTTCTAGGCCCAAGTGGACGGGCAAAGCAAAGAAGAAAGATGATAATAGGACTAGACTAGCACAAAACATGGGTATTCAAAAAGGTTAAAGGGAATAAGGCAGTGTAGGTTGAGGGCGAATAAACCTGTTTCTTTTGTCGCTAACTAAAACACTAAAGGACGAACTGTTTAAGCAATGACGTGGCATAGGAAAATATATATTTAATCATTGAGCCATGTTATGTGGTTGCGTCTATTAATTCCTGATGGATAGATTCTGGAGCCACTAAACATGTTTGCAATTTATTGTAAGGATTTCAGGAATCCAGAAGCCTTGATGATATGGATATATATTTATCTTTTGACCTGATGCCAAGGTTGTAGTTAAGTCAGTGGGAGTATTACATCTGAAATTAGAGAGTATGAGGATATTAGTATTAGAGAACTATCTTTATGCACAGAAGTGAAACACAATCTCATTCTTATTTCACTTTTGGTTTATAAAAACTATGTTGTTATTTTGTAAAACTGGTTTTATAAAATTGAAGAGATATGCGATTGCTTCTGGTGCATTGAAAGATGGTTAATATACTATAATCACAAACTCTTAAGATTTGCAGGATGTAGAAACTAATGTTGCATCTTCTAGATTGAATGTTAAGAAAAAAAAAATTGTTATTCCTGACTCATTGTATTTTTAGTGTCTATTTTTGGGTTGTTATCAATCAAAATAAGATTCAAAGATTGGTCAAAGAAGGTTAATTACCTAGTGAAGCAGGGGAGCCTAAACCAAACTTGTGAACCCTGTTTTGAAGGATAGATAACTCTTAGGGCTTAATCAGCCAGATGAAATAGACATAAAGGACAATTGGAGTCGGTACACACTGACACGTGTGGTCTTATGAACATCCAAGCAATATTACTCACGTTTTGGATAAGTTTATCTGATGCAACACAAGTCTTAAACTCTTGGTATTTTCTGAGAAGGTTAAGACTGATGTGGAACACATATTAGGTAAACTTGTCAAGACACTTCGATCTGATCGAGGATATGAGTATTTCTTGGGATAGTGCAAAGACTATATGGTCAATGAGGGTATTATGTACCAGTTTTCCGCAATTGACGCTAAATGTATTTAGGTGTCAAATAGGAATAACAGAATTCCACTTAACATGGGTAGATCTATGATCAGTTATGCTACATTATCTCTTTCATTTAAGAGTTTAGCGTTAATGACATCGATGCGCATTATGAACTGCATTCCATCTTAGTCTGTCTCAAGGATACCGTTGAGCTGTGTTTTTTTACTAAATATTAGTTTGAATCATATGCACATATGGGGTAGTCTTGCACATGTGCGCTTGATATGGACAAGTAAGTTGGAAGCAGATCATAGGCATGCTAGATTTGATAGCTACTCTAAATGTCACTAGGATGGATTATTTTATGATCTCAAAGATAAAAGTTAATTGTTTTCACTTACTGTTTATCTATAGGAGAATCATATTATGAATCACATACCTAGTAGCATAATGTTAGAGAATTTGGTATGAGTACCAGATGTACCACATGTGAACACACTTATTATAGAGATTGAGAATAATATATGAATTCCCTATTGATGCGTTAGCATCATCTACTACACAGATTCATGCATCGGTACATTGATGTAGTGGGAGGATTATCATCCAATTCGACAGAATCATGTTTTTAGGTGAGACCATTATGGACATCCCTGTTAAACATGAGTTGGACCCAGTAAGCTACACGGAAGCGTGAACCGATGGGGATACAGATCGTTTTGGTGAGTTACTATGAAATCAGAGTTGGAATCTATGTATTCTAATAAATTCTGGGATCTTGTAGAACTTTCTAGTAGGGTGATTCCTATGGAAGGCAAGTTAATCTACAAAAAGATACCAGAAGATTTCTTAGTGAATAAATCATGAGTGTACAAGGGAATGTCATTATTTTTCTTAATTCTATATATTGATGACATCCTACTCATTTATAATGACGTGGAAGTTTTGTCATCAATTAAAAGGTAGTTGTTCAATTACTTTTAAATGAAGGATTTTCAAGATGTAAGCTATATTCCTAGGATCAAGCTTTTGCAAGATCAGGTTAAAAGGAAAATAGGCTTATCTTAATAATCCTACATTGATAAAGTTTTGACCAGGTTTGGTATGCATAACTCAAAGAATGAGTTCTTGCTTTATTGATATGGATCGCTCTCTCTAGTAAGTAGTTTTTCAAGACTAGCAGAGGAGATTGAGCAAATGAGACTGGAACAATATGTTTCGGCATATGAGAGTCTCATATATGCCATGGTCTATACCAAACAAGACATCCGCTACATAGTAGGGATAGTCAGTAGAGATCAGTCCAATACTGGACTTGACAACTGGTCTATTGTGAAAAATATCATTAAGTACCTAAGGAGAATCAATGATATCATACTCATTTATGGATGTGATGATATGGTTCTAGTCAGGTATGCTAGTTCTGATTTTCAATCAGAAGTAGATACTATGAGGTTCATGACTTAGTGTATGTTCACTTAATGGAAGGGAAATCAGTTGGTAGATTGTCAAGCAGATTTCAACTGTTGACTCAAACCTGCAGGTGGAACATATTGCAGCCTTAAAGGTGGCAATATAAGCCTATTGGTTTGATCTCACTGATTTAGAGGTTGTGGAGCATACTAGCCTGCCTATCGAGCTATATTGTGACAATAGTGCAGAAGTAGTCCAAACCAATGACCCAAGGTTCCATAGATGAACAAAATACACTGATAGGAAGTATCATGTTCTACATGATATTGTCCGGCAAGAAAATGTACTTGTAGCTAGAACATTGCATTGGAACACAACTTTGTTGATCCATTATTAAAGGTGTCATTGATCAATAATTTTGATCATCATCTGGATAACATTGGAGTTAGGTGCAATTTGAATTGGCTATGAGGGCAAGTGGGAGCTGTTGGGATTTATATGCCCTGGCATAGCAAATTCCTGTCTGGATTGTATTGACATATGTTCCTGACATATCTGAAATATTTATGATTTATATAATTGGTGAATTCAATGTATTATGTTTCGATTCACTATGAAATTGATAGTGTCCAGTTAATTACAAGAAATATTTATATATATGTATGTGATGACAATCAATGCATGATATATAAATAGTAATTATAAATTGTTCATAGTCGGTAATTATGGATGGACTCATAATTAATTAAGACTTGAACTGGATCCGCGTTAGGTTGAGATATATTGCGAGAGTCGTCGTATGCAATTACTCCCTATCACCGTCATAGCATTTGACTCTTAAGCATGAGAAAAGTATAGACTCTTTTATTAATTAATAATTACTTTGATTTGTTCGGCGAATTCTTCGGGATCCTTAGACCGACACTTTGGGTAGTTATGTAATTAATAGTTAGAGGGTTATATTTTCAATATTTGCATCATTGCTACTTGTATTTATTTTGTATTGATTATGGTTGATCACAAAGTAAATTCGAAGGCCTTCGTGTGTTTTTAGACAAAATGATTTATTATATATTTATTTATTTAAATTATTATTTTTGTCAAACAAATGTTTTATTGTGATCGAGCCAGAAATAATCAAAGGTACCAAAATAAATATATTAATTAAGTAGTCGGATTGATGGCTATATTTATCCGATAACTAATTATGCATAGAGGGGTCAAAGTGCAATATTGACTTAGAGGTTATTTATTATTTAATTGGAGTTCAATTAATTTCTTTTAGTGGAGTAGAAATTAATTTATGAATTAATTGAATTGGGTCCATGGACCGGGCCAATTATTAATTCATTGTAGCCAATAAAATAATAGGCCCAATGGATTCTCACTCATAGCCCAACTTGATATTGGAATCATATTAGATTTGAGATATATGAATTAGAGATGGAGAAGGATTTGTTGTTTCCTTTTCTTTATTTTTATGTTGCCTATAAATATACATGGTCTATGTATATTTTAGGGGGTGATTTTTATGAGAAGGAAATAGGAATAAATTTTCTCTCTCTAGAAAATTAGGGTTTATGGTCTCATCTAATAGAGGCTCCCACAAGCCTAGTTTTCCAAGGTCATTCATGGAGGCATATGAGTGATTCCTAAAGGCAAAACAATTACCAAGAAGATGAAGATCCAAGGAGAATGCATCTAGCAAAAGGGATCTACAATAAGTGAGAACATTCACTTTAGAGGAGAGATCTGAGGTTTACTCAAACCTTGATGTAAGTATTCAATCTTTTAGTTGAATAATACATCATATTTTGTTTTATTTTTGCATGAAACTTGTCTCTATGTAATGAATCAAGATCTATGAATTTAAATCCCTCGAAAAGTTTTTAAAACTTGCACGTTTCCCAACAGTTAGTGCTCAATCAATGGATCAATTATTGTAATGGGTCTGTAATTGCAATATCTTCTCTTGTTCCTGTAGAATGGGAAGTACCAATGAGACCAATAATGGTGCATACACCTACGAGAACCTCGAAAGAGAACCTTACTGGCCATCTATGAAGCTCCGAATTTCTATTAATGGGGCAGGAGGCTTTATAGCCTCGCTCATTGCTCGCCGTTTGAAGAGTGAGGGCCACTACATTATAGCTTCTGACTGGAAGAAGAATGAGCACATGACAGAAGACATGTTCTGTCATGAATTTCATCCGGTGGATCTCAGGGTGATGGATAATTGCCTCAAGGTCACTGAAGGAGTCGACCATGTCTTCAATCTTGCCGCGGATATGGGTGGGATGGGCTCCATTCAGTCCAACCACTCTATTATTATGTATAACAACACAATGATTAGTTTCAACATGCTTGAGGCTGCTAGGATCAATGGGGTCAAGAGGTCTGTCGGCTTAGACTTAATCTATATTGATACTTTGTAGTTCTTGGAATGTACATTTTTATTGAAATTTGAGTTCTCAAGTCTGAATTTTATCTGCATTAATTGCTTTAGTTCATGCTCTTATTGTTGCATTTACAATAAGTACAATATGTTTTTACCAAGTATTTAGGCTTGGTTTGCTTTCACATAAAATATCTTCCTCTGAAAATATATTCCTTTTTCAGCTAAAATATATAATTTTTATTTTTATTTTTCGGTATTTGGCAAAGTTTTAGGTCGAGGCAATGGACAAGTTTTTCTTGTTAGGTTTTGATATCTTTTTTCTTCGTAAATATTTTACGACAACCAAACACCAAAAATTAAAAAAGTATTTTTGAAAAAATATTTTACATCTAAACAAATGGAGCCTTAGTAACTTGCAGATGGCTACATGCAGGTTCTTCATTGCCTCTAGTGCTTGCATCTACCCTGAATTTAAGCAACTGGAAACTAATGTGAGCTTGAAGGAATCTGATGCATGGCCTGCAGAGGTTTGATACTCTTTTGAGTCAATAATAATATAATCTAATTGTATTTTGTTTTGTAATATTTTATTAATATTAGATAAATTTCATTTTATGTTTAGCCTCAAGATGCATATGGCTTGGATAAACTGGCAACAGAAGAGTTATGCAAGCATTACACCAAAGATTTTGGAATAGAATGTCGGATTGGGAGATTCCATAAAATTTATGGTCCCTTCGGGACATGGAAAGGTAAGCTTTCAGTGATCACTTATGGTGTTATGCATATGCTCATCTTTATTTTCTTTTTGTAGATTCTATTCTTTGTTACTTTGCTCTATGTGGTATAGGTGGGAGAGAAAAGGCACCTGCTGCTTTTTGCAGAAAAGCCATTACATCTACGGATAAGTTTGAGACGTGGGGAGATGGACTTCAAACTCTATCTTTCACTTTCATTGATGAGTGTGTTGAAGGTGTGCTGAGGTAAGCACTTCAATTTCCAATTTTCTTGTAGGTGAAGGCAACACACACACAACTCAACACAACCAGTGCAGAGTTGAACCTTCAATCTTTCCCACATGGGAGGTGTTGGGATTTATATGCCCTGGCATAGCAAATTCCTATTTGGATTAAAGTGACATATATTCCTGACATATCTGAAATATTTATAATTTATATAATTGGTGAATTCAATGTATTGTGTTTCGATTTATTATAGAATTGATAGTGTCCTCTTGATTACAAGAAATATTTATATATGTATGAGATGACGATCAATACATTAATATAAATAGTAATCATAAATTGTTCATAGTCGGTAATTATGGATGGAATCATAATTAATTAAGACTTGGACTGAATCCGCTTTAGGTTGAGATATATTGCGAGAGCCGTCGTATGCAATTGCTCCCTATTACCGTCATGACATTTGACTCTTAAGCATGAGAAAAGTATAGACTTTTTTGTTAATTAATAATTACTTTGATTTGTTCGGCGGATTCTTCGGGATCCTTAGACCGACACTTTGGGTAGTTATGTAATTAATAGTTAGAGGGTTATATTTTCAATATTTGCATCATTGCTACTTGTATTTATATTGTATTGATTCTGGTTGATCACAAAGTAAATTCGAAGGCCTTCGTATGTTTTTAGACAAAATGATTTATTATATATTTATTTATTTAAATTATTATTTTTTGTCAAACAAATGTTTTATTGTGATCAAGTTAGAAATAATCAAAGGTACCAAAATAAATATATTAATTAAGTAGTCGGATTGATGGCATTATTTATCCGATAACTAATTATGCATAGAGGGGTCAAAGTGCAACATTGACTTAGAGGTTATTTATTATTTAATTGGAGTTCAATTAATTTCTTTTAGTGGAGTAGAAATTAATTTAATTGGGTCAATGGACCGGGCCAATTATTAATTCATTATAGCCAATAAAAATAATAAGCCCAAAGGATTCTCATTCATAGCCCAACTTGATATTGGAATCATATTAGATTTGAGATATGTAAATTAGAGATTGAGAAGGTTTAACAGTTTCCTTTTCCTTATCTTTATGTTGCCTATATATATATATGGTCTATGTATATTTTAGGGGTGATTTTTATGAGAAGGAAAAAGGAATAAATTTTCTCTCTCTAGAAAATTAGGGTTAGTGTTCTCATCTAATGGAGGCTCCCACAAGTCTAGTTTTCCAAGGTCATTCATGGAGGCTTATGAGTGATTCCTAAAGGTAAGACCATTACCAAGAAGATGGGGATCCATGGAAAAGGTGTCTAGCAAAAGGGATCTACAATAAGTGAGAACATTCACTTTAGATGAGAGATCTAAGGTTTATTCAAACCTTGATGTAAGTATTCAACCTTTTAATTGAATGATACATCATGTTTTATTTTTGCATAAAACTTGTCTCTATGTGATGAATCAAGATCTATGAATTAAAATCTCTCGAAAAGTTTTTAAAACTAGCACGTTTCCCAACAGGAGGATTAGGAGATACGACTTGAGCTAAAGGCTTGTGGTAGCTCAAGGCAACCTATTTTGTAATTTTTGAAATTTTCTCTAGGTACTTGGTTAGAAGTTCAAGTTCATGGATATATCTTCTCCAGATTTACCAAAAATAAATGTTAATACCCTAGCAATTTAGATTATGGATTGCAAACTACAGACCATAGTGCACAGTTTTCTTAAATCACTAAGTTTATTATCTAAAATGTTCTCTTGTTTCCTTTTCCTTAACATTAAATGGAAACATAAAATAGAAATTGAATTGAAATATAATTTGGTAAAGTTTCTTTAGATGAAGATTGTATCAATATCAGCTTCTTCTTTTAATACTTTTGTATTTCATTAATCTACTCCTTGAAGGAAATAAGATGAATCTTGCATTTAGAATTACTTTTAGATATTCCTGTTATGATCAAAACTATCTCCAATCATGCAATAATTTAGGAGTATTTGGAGTACATTTTGGACGTTCCAGTTTTAGGTACTGTATCAATTTAATTTCACTTTAAGCAGCAACAATATTGAACTTCTAGGGAAGCCTTGGTTATTATGTGGCTGAAGATGGAAGATAGGTGAACAAGCCTAATCCATAATTGTCAATCTCTCATTTCTTTCATTGTTGTAAATCTGTTCGTAGGAGTGTGTGCACACCAATGTGTATGAGCAATTTTTATTATGCTGTGCACGTTATAGGCATGCACATAGTTACATTCCTCATTTCCTTTCCTTAATTGCGTTACCATTTTCGATTCAACCCAGATTGACAAAATCAGACTTTCGGGAGCCAGTGAACATTGGAAGCAATGAGATGGTTAGCATGAATGAGATGGCTGAGATTGTTCTTAGCTTTGAGAAGAAGAACCTCCCTATCAACCACATTCCTGGCCCAGAAGGTGTCTGTGGTCGTAACTCAGACAACACACTGATCAAAGAGAAACTTGGTTGGGCTCCAACTATGAAACTGAAGGTACCGATAAAGCTTGAAATCTATATTTGGATGTAATTTCAGTTACTATTCTGAGTCAAATTTGTTTGTTGAAGAAGTTATGCAAATCTCCAGAGTTCATAGTTACGGAAAATTTAAATTTACTACTTCCTAGTTTTGTAGGATGGGCTGAGAATTACTTACTTCTGGATCAAAGACCAGATTGAAAAGGAGAAAGCTGAGGGCATGGATTTGTCAGTTTATGGCTCTTCTAAGGTGGTGGGAACCCAAGCCCCTGTCCAACTTGGATCCCTTCGTGCTGCTGATGGCAAGGAATGAATTGGTTGGAAGCCAGTCAGCTCTTCTAGTTGCAGTCAAAGAAGGTTTTTCTATTATTATATATTTCTATTAGTGATATGTATACTATATTTCGGAACAAATCTGCTCTTGGATAGTGTAGTACCTTATGAAATCTATATGTGGTTTAATGCATTGATAGATTGTTGCACCTTGACTCGATAGTTTATTTACATGGTTTTAATTGAATTGTTACCTGCATATAAGAAAAGTAAGTTGCTAATGAATTGTTTCCCAAAAATCGTAGTTGTTATCTCTAAATGGGGCTATCATAGTGTAGAAAACAAAGGAAAATTGTGTCCTTTCCTGGTTGAGTTTCATCTGAAATTTGACTGAGATCCTCGTGGGATTTGTTTAAGGTTGGCTGATTTTGTTAAGTTGGAAGATGATATATGTCCATTACTTTTCTAAACAAAGCGTTACGTTAGTTTGCCACGGATATGGGTGGGATGGGCTTCATTCAGACCAACCACTCTGTTATCATGTATAATAACACAATGATTAGTTTCAACATGCTTGAGGCTGCTAGGATCAACAGGGTCAAGAGGTCTGTCGGCTTAGACTTAATCTATATTGGTACTTTGTTGTTCTTGGAATTTACATTTTTGTTAAAATTTGAGTTCTCAAGTCTGAATTTTATCTGCATTAATTGCTTTATTTCATGATCTTATTATTGTTGCATTTACAATAAGTACAATATATTTTTACTAAAGTAGTGTGATACCCCCGGATTTCCGGATGCGGGTTGGCCAGGCCCACGCCCGATTACCCGAGGATATCAAAACAATTAGCAATTTAATGAACACAGAATACAATATAGAAAACAAGAATGAATAAAATTTTGCTGAAAAGAATCTAGAATGATAATCAAATAATTGAAAACCTCAGAATAAATAAATTCATTGATAATTAAAACTATTTTTGATACAACTGATCCACCACGAATGGAAATCGTTCTCCAATTTATACAACTCGGGAATCCATCTAGTGGACCCCTAAAAATATCCAATGGTACTCAAAAGACTGGAACAAAACCCAAGTCTTAACATGAAATAAAATCCTACCCCATCAGTAGAGTGAATAACTGTATCTGCTCAGCACGATCAAGCTCTACAGCCCAGAACTGACGAACACCTGAAAAAAATAATAAAAGGGTGGGTCAGGCCCACTAGCAAGTTCTAATCTAACTGCAATCCATACAGTGACCCGATACGCAGATACACCATAGATACCTCACAATATCTATCTAGTCCATACATATATATATCCACACTATAGGACATTCACTGAACTACAGTAGGGGTCTCAACCTGAATAGAAGGCAACATGCGAATACGCACCCAAAGGTGGGCATGAGTACCTAGACCTAACAGGGTACACCCAACCTACTATAACCAGCTACACGTCCACTGCATATACGCACCCTAACCAACAAGTTTGAGACTCAAGCTCAACCCGTGGTACCATAAACATATATATCTAAACTCCGTTCCTAACCATTCACAAGAAATCCAATAAGTCATTCGGCGTATTCAACCGTACCGACTTATATATATATAAGGAGGATTTATTTAACAACCCGTTCCCTTATTCCAAAATAGGTAGGACTGGGTATTTTAAATCAGTCTGTCCCTAGTATGCCACCGTCCCATACCGGTGCATACAATCCACAAAGTCCATATAATTGATAGAACCAGTCCTACTGTTCACCAATTAAAATCCATAAGGTAGGAATTAGCATTTTGAGCTAAACCATACCTAGTATGCCACCGTCCCATACCGGTGCATACCATCCTCCATATCCATGTAAATTACAACATTCAGATGATAAGCAAGTAATTCACAATGCAAAACCAAACCCAGATAATTGACAGAATTTTAATGTGAGAATTCAGCAATTAAAATCCAATACATAATTCCAAATAATTGGTCAAGTTTAATATAAGAATTAAGCAATTATAATCCAATATATGATTCCAAATAATTGACCGAATTAAGTATAAGAATTCAGCAATTATGTTCCAATACATAATTCCAGGTAAATTACAAGGCATAATTAATAAGCATGTAATTTATAGTCCAAAACCAACCATCCACATTATTGTAGAATAGTATTTCAACAACTTAAAACCAAAACCATGTAAATTACAGACTACGAATGATAGTACAGTAATTTAAAATCCAAAACCAATATCCAATTAATTACAGAAGATTTTTAAATGTTTCCGCAATTTAAATCCAACCAAATTAACCATATATTTGTAGGGGATGAATTAATAAATCAACAAATAACTTCCAGAGCCTACATAGATTACATCTAACACATCAATGACCCTATAATATATTTAAGACCATTTAATAACTATATTATATCCCACTGGAATGCTAAAAAATAAGCTTAAGCATTTAAAACTTCATTCATCCACCAACCGTATACAATTTGTACATAAGTGTTATACAGTTTGATCCGTTAATTTAGAATTAACCTTAAATTAATTTAGGGTCTTAATAACACCCAAAAATTAACTATTTAATCCCTCCGTGAAGTCTCATTAAATTTCTAAAATTTAATCAAACCATTTAGTTCCTTTCTCTGTTAGTAGCATACACCGTTGTATATTTTTACACTGCTTCATCCTTTGTCTTAAAGGCTTAAACCATGCAACATTAATTTTAATAACACTTAAAATTAACTACTTAGATCCTCTGTTAAGTCCCTACAATTCATTAGAATCACTCAGAAGCCCAAACAGTGCTCCAAACACCAAACAGAGCCCTAAAACCACTTTCTGGACGTAAAAACCAATTGGAGCCGGCTCTTGGAATGGAGGAGCCGGCTCTTCCCCTATTGGAGCCGGCTCCAATCCCCTAGGAGCCGGCTCTTGCTGAAGGGGAGCCGGCTCTTAACTTCCTAGAGCCGGCTCTCTCCCTCTTGAGAGCCTCCAGTTCATCCCTGCTCCGTTTCCGTCAATCTGCTCCTTCTCTGGTCAGTCCCTACCCTTCTGTTTATTTCTTAAACTGATCTTAAGGGTTTATTATCACTCTATTAACATCTCCAAGGTTTGATTACAGTAATTTAAACCACTTACAAAGCTTAAGGTTGCTATTGAACTTACCAAGCTTTTAGTGTCAAAACTGAAACTATATGCAGAAACAGAATCGGAACAGATTGCACACGTATTTAAAACAGAATGATAACATCCCTATGAGTTCTGTATAACCCCAGTAGAGTTCCTATATTGTGTCTACAAGAGTTGCAGTCAAATACAGAAACTAAGGCTACGATGGAAACCATATGCTTAAAATACAGAAAACTGAAACACCACTTGCATACACTGTAACAGATATTGAACACATACAGACCAACAATATAACACGTAATAAACATATTAATTCCAGTTTCTGCTTGATTAAACCCTAGAGATTATCTAGGTGCACAGAACACGGATTAAAGGGAAAGAGGAAGATAGAACTTGCCTTTGTAACAGTTGGTCTGCTTTCCTCTGTTCTGGCCACACTGAAAATACTGCTTAGCCTCCTATTACTTCTGTGTTTCCCTTCTCCTAGGTTTGGCTTTGAAACCTCAGTCGAGAACTCACAATTTGCTCTGTTATCTCAACCCTTACTCTGCATCTCTCTGTGTTTTGCAGAACCCTCTACGTGTATATGCTATGTGATATATCGTAAAACCCTAGCTTAACGCATAATGGAGTATTTATAAACTAAATACTAAAACCCTAATCCTTGTCACATTGAGATAAAGCCCTAAACTTAATCCGAGTTGGCCCCCAAAGTAACCCAGTTTAATTACATAATTACCCTGTTCAAAAATTAAATACTTAATAAATAATTAATTTAATAAAACCCATTAATTAAATCAAATAAGGAAGCAACGAATCACTTAAAACACATAAAATAAATAAAACAAGTAATTAAAATAAACCAACAAATAAAGAATTACACCCTTAATTAAAATAAACAATAATAAATCAATTAAATCAACTTATCCAATTAAGTCAATTAATGCAAATAATGTTAAATAATTCAACTAAGACAATTAAACAAAAATAATAAACGCAAATAAATAATTAACAAATAAATCAATTAATACACACAAATAAACATTTATTCATAAAATTAATAAATAAAATAAAAATGCACATAAAATGACATTTAAATTCCAATTTTATCCCCTTTTTAAAGTAGGGGTATTACAAGTAGTTAGGCTCCGAATTCATCGAAAAATATTTTTTTTTTTCAGCTAGAATATATATTTTTTATTTTTATTTTCTGGTGTTTGGCAACGGTCTAGGTCGAGGTTGAGGTCAAGTCGATCGGATGGATGGATAAGTTTTTTTGTTAGGTTTAAATATCTCCTTTCTTCGTAAAAACCAAAAAAAAAAAAAAATTCCTCTAAACAAACGGAGCCTTAGTAACTCGCAGCTGGCTACAGGCAGGTTGTTCTATGCCTCCAGTGCTTGCATCTACTCTGAATTTAAGCAACTGGAAACTAATGTGAGCTTGAAGGAATCTGATGCATGGCCTGGGGAGGTTTGATACTCTTTTGAGTCAATGACAATATAATCTAATTGTATTTTGTTTTGTAATATATTATTAATATTAGATAAATTTCATTTTATGTTTAGCCTCAAGATGCATATGGCTTGGAGAAACTGGCAACAGAAAAGTTATGCAAGCATTACAACAAAGATTTTGGAATAGAATGTCGGATTGGGATGTTCCATAACATTTATGGTCCCTTCGGGACATGGAAAGGTAAGCTTTCAGTGATCACTTATGGTGTTATGCATATGCTTGTCTTTATTTTATTTTTGTAGATTCTATTTTTTTTTACTTTGCTCTATGTGGTATAGGTGGGAGAGAAAAGGCACCTGATGCTTTTTGAAGAAAAGCTAATACATCTATGGATAAGTTTGAGATGTGGGGAGATGGACTTCAAACTTGATCTTTCACTTTCATTGATGAGTGTGTTGAAGGTGTGCTGAGGTAAGCGCTTCAATTTCCACTTTTCATGTAGGTCAAGGCAACATTTTCCGTTTTCTTTCCTCGACAACTCAACACAACCAGTGGATAGTTGAACCTTCAATCTCTCGCGTGGGAGAACGAGGAGATACCACTTGAGCAAAAGTCTCGTGGTCGCTCAAGGCAACTTATTTTGTAATTTTTAAAATTATCTCAAGGTACTTGGTTAGAAGTGCTTTTTCATGGATTTATCTTCTCCAGATTTACGAAAAAGTGTTAGTATCCTAGCAAGTTACATCTGAGATTGCAAGCTACGGACCGTGTTGCACAATTTTCTTAGAACACTAAGGTTGTAGTCTAAAATGTTCTCTCATTTCCTTTTCCTTAACATTAAGAAGACAGAGAACAGAAAATGAATTGAAATATATATGATGAAGTTTCAGTTATGTTCGAAACTCTCTCCAATCATGCAATTTATTTAAGAATATTTGAAGCACATTTTAACATTCCACCTTTAGGGGCTGTATCAATTTTCTTACTTTAAGCAACAATAATATTGAACTTTTAGGGAAGCCTCCGATACATTTCCTTTTTTAAGAAAAATATGTTCGTGGTTATTATGTTTCTGTAGATGGAAGATAGGTGTCAAAGCCCATTCCATGAATGTCAATCTCACCTTTCTTTCATTGAAATAAAGCTGTTTGTGGGCGCAGGCAAAAGTCAATGTGTATGAGCAATTTTTCATATGATGTGCGCATGATAGCACGCACATGGTTGTATACCTCATTTCCTTTCCTTAATTGCATTACCATTTTGGATTAAACCTAGATTGACAAAGTCAGACTTCCGGGAGCCAGTGAACAGTGGAAGCGATGAGATGTTAGCATGAATGAGATGTCCGTGGTCGTAACTCAGACAACACACTGATCAAAGAGAAACTTGGTTGGGCTCCAACTATGAAACTGAAGGTATCAATAAAGAGTTCATAGTTCCCTGTTTGGAAGCTTGAAAATATAAGTTTGGATGTAATTTTAGTTATTATTCCAAGTCAAATTTGTTTGTTGAAGTTATGCAAATCACCAGAGTTCGTAGCCCTGCCACAATTAAATTTACTACTTCCTACTTTTGTAGGATGGTTGAGAATTACTTACTTCTGGATCAAAGACCAGATTGAAAAGGAGAAAACTCAGGGTGTGGATTTGTCAGTTTATGGCTCTTCCAAGGTTGTGGGAACCCAAGCCCCTGTCCAACTCAGATCCCTTCGTGCTGCTGATGGCAAGGAATGAATTGGTTGGAAGCCAGTCAGATCTTCTAGTTGCAGTTAGTAAAGGTGTTTCTTTTATTATATATTTCTATTAGTGATATGTCTACTATATATATTTTGTAACAAATCTGCTCTTGGATAGTATAGTACCTTATGAAATCTATTTGTGGTCTAATGCATTGATAGATTGATTCACCTTGAGAAGTTTTTTTAACATCTTTTTAAAGGTCATGTCATCTCATGGCAAGTGCTCTTTGCTCGCCTTTAATTGAATTGTTACCTGCATATAAGAAAAGCAAGTTGATATATATATATATATATATATATATATATATATATATATATATATATATATATATACTTTTCCCAAAAATCTTAGTTGCTATCTCTAAATGAGCCAAGCATAGTGTAGAAAACAAAGAAAAATTGTGTCCTTTCATGGTTGAGTTTCATCTGAAATTTGATTTGAGATCCTTGTGGGATTTGTTCAAGGTTGACTGATTTTGTTAAGTTGGAAGATGATATATGTTCATTACTTTTCGAAACAAAGCTTTTAGGGATAATAGTGAGTTATATTCAATAAACATTCCTACCATGTTTGGAGAGATGTGAACTGCAGTATGAAAGTAGTGCAAATTGAATTTGTTTTCTAATGTGTTCCTTGGTTGGTTATTACTTTTAATCGAGACCAATTTTCTCCCCTTGGTTAATAAAATTCGAATGGCAAGGAACATATGGACAGACATACGGAGAATCAAAATATATAGGAAGGTGCAGTTTTTTCCCTGGCAGTGTTTCTGTTATAGGCTTTCAATCTTCATCATTGAAGCTCAAGGGCAATATTGTAGAATCGAGTTATGTGCAGAGTTTGTGGGTTGAAAGAGGAGTCTATTGATCATCTTTTATGTCAGTGTCCAGTTTCTCAGAATGTGTGGAAGCTTTGTCCTTTGAGGATCGAGTTTAGAGAACATGTTCGATGTTGTGACACAGGAGACGATTAGCTTTATCTAGAATCTGGAAGGCCAGTTTTGTCCAATAAAGTGCTTGAGCTCTGCTTCTTTCATTTGTTGGAACCTATGGAAGTGCATTAATTATTGGGGTTTTAATGAGAGATATTCGGATCCACACTTAATTTTGAGCAAGGGTCTTTAGGATTATCGTGAATTAATTGAAGTGATGAGACAAGAGGGGTTGTGTGCAATGACTATCGGAGCTGTAAGTGCTAATCCTTTGTCCTTTTCTGCTCTGCATCTTTGGTACACGAGATTACAAGGTAAATTTCAGACATGTGCAATCACCCGCAAACCATATATCATTCAAACTTAGGAATTATTGCGTTATGTGAGAGTCGAACACCCAGGACTTCTGAGTTTAAACTTCGTTTCAATGTTTCTGTTAGTGTTGTGCATACAGAGAGTGGAGCGTGAGATCATTCTGGTATACCAGTCAAAGTTGCTTCTGGGTATTTAAAGTGAACCAGTAGTGCTATTGTGGCTGAAGGTTTTGATGCTCAGGAGAGCTTTGAAGCTTCTGATTAAAAGGGGTTATTCAAATGTCTTAGTTGAAGGGTACTACCAGTCGATCATAAATTTTAAGGCTATTGAAGATGCAGTAATAGGGATCATTGAAGATGTGCATCTACTTTTGAAGCAGTGTTTGGAGATTAGTCTATTTTGGGATCCATGTTGTTGTAATAGGGTTGCGCTTGTAGTGAGCCAAGTCACACAATTCTTCTTAATGGGTCCCGTTCTCACGCTCCATATGCGCTTCCACTTCGGCTCCCACTTTGTCTGACTTAAATTTTACTGCTTTCATGTTCCCACTACGTTTGACTTAGGTACTGAGTAGGGAAGCTTCACAAGTGAAGCAAAGTGACAAAATTATAGAAGTGTAGTGACAATATTTGAATAATGGCAATGGTTTTTGGTAACTGGGGTGTCTGGCGCTTTGTCCCGACTAATCCACAGGACCCATGCAAGGCCCCCTCGGTCATACCATTTGGAGTTCACTTTCTGTCCTTGATACAACTGATGAAACCAATAAGTCAAAAACAAATAGAACCAGAATTTAACAAGATGAAAAAAGAAAAATTACAAAGCTTGATCCAAAGACCATGAACTTCCCTCCCACATCTATTTCACCCTATTTTCAACAAAACCCCGAGTCATACCATTTGGAATTCACTTGCTGTCCTTGATACAACTGATGGAACCCAATCACCATCATAAACTGAATTATTCCTGGACTTCTCAAACCTATCTCCATCACCCCACGGGGCATATGCTTCCTCTCCATGCACCGCTTCATCGCCAATTTGAAGATCTTGGTCGTTCAATCTCAGTGGGACTATCAACTTAATGAACAAACAGATCAAACTCGTGGTAACAAAGTTGAGAGAGACGATGAAAACGATCCCCAGGAGTTGAATTCTCATCTGTCGAAATCCAGCACCAGTTCGGCCACTTTGGAGGCCATATGCTAGGCCAATGAATCTTTCCCAGTCTTGTACCGTGTAGAAGAGGCGGCTGAGCTTAGGCACTGAAAAAAAGCCGGTGAGAATGCCAAAAAAGCCGGTGAGAATGCCGCCCAAGCTTCCGGCAATGGCGTGGGTGGGGAAGACGGCCATGGTGTTACGTATCGTAGTAGCTTGATCTTGTGGTGGAGCACCATCATTGTGTACCATGGGACACTTCCTGAGATTATGCCCATCAGAATGGCAGCCCAGCATTGGACCACTCCTGCACATTTTTAAAGTAACAAAAATGGAGACTTTAAGAATGACTTATTTGAACAAACATACATATACAAACTCTGAATTGTCCAAGTGAATTGTTTGACCTCCTATTTTTGATAGGCTATCTATGCAAATATAAGTTAGTGGGCCCACACATGACCAATCAAAACTTGTCGAACCATCGGCCTAAAAATCATTTTCCTTAAAAAAAGTTTGTGCTATCTACAAATATTCTTTTGGTGTTAAAAAAAACTCCCTTACATTTACCGTGAAAAAAAATTCTAGATGTGTAATATGAATAATGATGTAGCTCGTTCTCTTATATATATATTATAAGAGAACGAGCTACATCATCATTGAACGAGCTACATCATCATTCATATATATATATATATATATATATATATATATTGTAATAATACAGAACTACATGCTATATATATTTGGGCGATGTGAGACTTGTGAGCACACATAACTCATACCAGAGTCTTGCCTCTCATAGGCCTACTTTCGCCCACCGAGCCTCATAATTCCACCACCTTGGGAGCCCGACGTCCTTGTCGGCACACTTCCGGTTAGGTCAAGCCCACCAACTACGGAATTCTGATGAGTTAATCTCTATCACGGCTTTAAAACGAGTTGTGTTATAAAATAATGTTGAACTTACATATATCACTTCACACTCATGCGATGTGGGAGTTGTGAGTACACGTAGCTCGTACCAGATCATTGCCTCTCACAGGCCTACTCAGTTCCACCGAGCCTTGTAATACTTTGGAGTTTTTATAAAGGGTAAAATACAGCCACACCCCCTGAGGTTTGGCAAAAGGACACTCAGATGAAATTTATCTGTTTTTTGAATAAAGACACCCCTAAATGTTCAAAAATGGACAAAGATACCCCTTTACATGAGAAATTGACCAATTACCCTTTAACCATTTAGGAGACTTTTTTAACTTTACAATTTAATAAATCGGACCAATCTACCTTCATGAACAATTTATGCATAAAAAAAAGTAACTAACAAAAAAAAAAAAAAAAAAAAAAAAAATTATATTTTGTTATTTACTTTATAAATGTCCCAACTTCTTAAAAATGTAGACGTCTAAGATTTTTTGATCCAATACATATATTTCAAATAAATTATATTTTGTTATTACTTCTTTTCTTTTTCTTTTTTATTTTTAAAATAAGATACTTAATTCTTTTATCTAAAAAAAATTAAACCAATCTCTTTTCCTTAAAAATAAAAATATGGTATCAGTATAACTTTATGCATCTTAAATTATATATCAAAGATTATGCATTTCCCAACATAAAAGGGAATAATAATAAAAAAAAAACAAAGGGAAAAAAAATAATAAAACAAAGGGAAAAAAAGAAAAAGAAAAAAAGAAACAGAAGCATGCATAAAGTTAAGATGCATAAAGTTATACTGGTACTTATTTTCTTTTATGTTAGGAAATGCATAATATTTAATATATAATTTAAGATGCATAAAGTTATACTAGTACCCTATTTTTTATTTTTAAGGAAAAGAGATTGGTTTAATTTTTTTAGATGAAATAATTAAGCATCTTAATTTAAAAAGAAAAAAGAAAAGAAAAGAACTAATAACAAAATATAATTTATTTGAAATATATGTATTGAATCAAAAAATTATTTTAGACGTTTACATTTTTAAGAAGTTGGGGCATTTATAAAGTAAATAACTAAAAAAAAAAGTGAACAATATAAAGTTTTTTTTTTTTTACTTTTTTTTATGCATAAATTATTCATGAGGGTACATTGGTCAAATTTATTAAATTGTACAGTTAAAAAAGTCTCTTAAATGGTCAAAGGGTAATTTGGTCAGATTTTCATGTAAAGGGGTGTCTTTGTTCACTTTTAAATCTTCAGGGGGTGTTTTTGTCCAAAAAATAAGTAAGTTTACTCTAAGTGTTCTTTTACTAAACCTCAAGGAGTGTGACTGTACTTTACCCTTTTATAAAAAACAAATGATTGTTTATGTGTACATTTGGTACAATATTTTAAATCATAGGAATTTATACGAAGGGTAACATGATTGTTTATGTATACTTTTTATTATATATGTTCCATGATATGTATTATTTATTTATATACATAAAAATGATCTCTTGCTCGTTTGTACAAATTGAGCCAAAAATGATTGTGATTTGTGAACTGTACCTGCGCCGGGAATGATGCAAACTAAGCCAGTGATCATGCCCTGCACGGCTCCAATGGCGGAGGGCTTACCATAGCTGAAGGTGTCAAGTACAAGCCAGGTGAGCAAGCTGGTAGCCGCACACAGGTGGGTGTTAAGCGCGGCTAGGGACGCGTCCATGCTAGCCGCAGAAGGAACTCCGCCGTTGAACCCGGTCCACCCGATCCACAACAGCCCTACACCGGCTAACATCATTAGGATGTTGTTAGAAGGGAACATCTCC